TCCACCATAGTTGCGATAGGGGGAGTGATGGATCTTCCCCCTTCGCTTTGAGGCCAAACTCCCGATGACCCCCTTCACCTGGGCTGAGATTGGTATTGTACTCTGAGAATATGGTAAAAATCGTTATTAAAAGGTTTTGCAGGCTAAGTACCTCAAACAACAAGTACACTTATAAATTTACAAAAGAAACGGTATTTGTGTTTATTTATATTATTTATTTATCCTCGTAGCATTCATTTGGAAGCAGAAAGTGAGGACAAAAAAGCAGTTGGTTTTTGGAGTACATAAAATCCCTCATATCCCGCGGCACAGAAGACCTAGAAAAAAATCAACGGTCTACGTCGATTCTCCGTGATCTCAGCTTTCGAATGGTGTACAGCATGTTAGGGCTTCTTTGCTTCCCGGCTCTAAAAATCATTTGCTCCGGTAACCGATAAAAGCCAATACATTGGTGGAGCTGAGTGGAGCAAGCTAATAGTAAATATCTCCACCCCATTTTTGAAAACTGGTTAGTTTTTTCGCCCAGCAACCTATATACCATTCGAAAGTTCAGGAAAAGGGGATTCGACCTATACCATCGACTTCTTTCTAGCCCCCCTCTACCGAGAGATACACCGCATTTTATCTGAAAACATGGTCATTTTCAACAGCAGATTTCTGCCAAATGACGATCTAATCACTGCTGATTATCTATCTGCGTTGAAGAGCAAGTCTACGTTAATAAACGTAGACCGTCGACTTTTTCGTATCATTCATTTAACGAGCAGAAAGTGAGGACACAAAATCAGTTAATTTTTGAAGCACATAAAATCCCTCATATCTCGCCGCACAGAAGACCTAGAAAAAAGTCAACGGTCTACGTCGATTCTCCGTGATCTCAGCTTTCGAATGGTTTACAGCATGTTAGGGCTTCTTTGCTTCCCGGCTCTAAAAATCATTTGCTCCGGTGACCCATAAAAGCCAACACATTGTACAGGTCGTCCCGAAAGTTTTTGCGCACGATTTTCAAAAATTCATAACTTCTGATTTTTCCAACCGATTTGACTGTTTCTATTTTCGTATGAAATAGTAGGTCATGTTTTTTATAATGACATCCTATCTGCTGAGTAATGGTCATCTGTTGCATAGATAGGAGCGATAGAAGAAAATCGGTCAAAATTTGAATTTTCTGTGTAGGGTCATGAAAAATCGGAGACTTGCAACAAAAATCGGAGCAGTCAGTATTGTAGGTTCCTCCACCAGTTCTTTCTAACAGTGCAAAGTTTGCGCTGATTGAGGGTCTCTATGAAAAGTTGTGATTCGAGCAAGCAATACAAAAGGGCGAATTTGGTTTATTTTGGCATTTTTCAGGGAAATCATAACTTTTCATAGAGACGCTCAATCGGCGCAAATTTTGCACTGTTAGAAAGAGCTGGTGAAAGAACTTACAATACTGACTGCACCGATTTTTGTTGCAAGTCTCCGATTTTTCATGACCCTACACAGAAAATTCAAATTTTGACCGATTTTCTTCTATCGCTCCTATCTATGCAACAGATGATCATTACTAAGCAGCTGAGATGTCATTATAAAGAGCATGACTTACCCTTTCATAAAAAGTGAAAGCAGTCTAATCGGTTGGAAAAATCAGAAATTATGATTTTTTGGAAATCGTGCGCAAAAACTTTCGGGACGACCTAATAAGAGCGAGGTGGAGCAGGTTAATAGTAAAAAATGTGTTGTGGATTGACACGTTATCAGCACTAATGGGAACGCGAGCGAAAGCTTCTATTTAAGCGTGCTTATGTTGTTATATGTTCATGTTTTTTGGTAAAAAATGCGCTTTTAATTGACAGTTATGCCATCATTGTTAACACACACTCAAAAAACTATGGGAGATTGGTGAATTTTCACACCTACACAAAAACCCGCCCATTTTTGGAATGTATACTCTGTAAACCTAGTGCTGAAGAAGGTCACTTTTGTGAAAACGCTCTAGACTCACCTTACCTAAGTTGTAGAGAACGGTTGATTTCAATGAACCAAAAACTTTAAGACATTCAGAAGAATAACATGTTATTAAAATATCCCTCAATGTTTTGGAAAGGTTGGCAGTTTGAAGAGGAAACGGCAGGCAGAATACTTTACAAAATCGCAGATGACTCGCACGTGTTCCAGTTCCACAGCGAGGCAAAAGGAGAACTTTACGCCACCGAAAATGTTGTCGACATTGATACAGAGTTGACAATTGAGCGAAACTCTCTGATTTCCTACATAAGGAATCCAAGCAGATTGCCTAGTTTCAATGAGGAAATGTCCAGGAAGTCCATTGCTGATCTTCAGGTTGCTGAAGATTTTAAGGCTGTTAAATTCACAAACATGGATATGAACAAAAGGAAGGTGTTAGTGCAAAGCATAGCTACTGCTCTTAGATCCCGACTGGAGTGCAAATCCAACTCTGTGCTTGCTTTTGGAAGTTATTCGCCTTGTGACATTATGAGCTATGATATTGAAAAAAAAAACAACGCGCAGCATAGTATCTACTTTTTTCGGCTATTCCGCAGATGCTGTTAAAGAAGAAGTTGAGCAGCTTTCTCATCAGCTAACAGGACGTATGCAAGATGAGGTGAAGCCAGAGTTCATCAAGGCCCAAAAAAGTATTCACTATTTCCTTCCCGTGTTGCGAAAGCATATGCGATCTGGCTCTTTTCCCATTACTTACCACAAAAATCTGATGGACTTACTGGCAAAGCTAGTTTTCATTCCGAATAGCACGGCAGAGGTGGAGAAAGAAATTTTCTATCTATTCTATTACCAGAACACAACGCAGAAGTCGTATAACGATGGAGCATCTAAGCAATTACTTAAGGTTTGTCAACCTTCTACTAAACATATTGTTATCTAAAAGCTTCATTCAAAGGATTGGTATAAGTGGTCCAGACAGGCTGTTATCGCATGACTTTTTGAAATATCCTAAAAGATGGTATGAAGAAACTGGTCACCTACCTGCTGACTTTCCTGGTGCTACCAGAGGGCCAGGAAAAAAATCACAAAAGCGCTTAGAAGAAGAAGAAAGTTTCAAGTCCATTTTCGACCCAGAACGCTTTTGCACGCAATCCTACTTCTACTCCGATGACCTTTTGGAGGAAGAAGAAGATTTTTTAGGCAGCGAACTTGTAGTATTTGACGTTAGCGATAGTGATATTGTTGATGATGATGTGCAGGAACTGAAGTTGTTCCTAACTTGTATATTTTTTGGGATAAACCTTATTGTTTTCGTTTTTTGTTGATGCAATGAAACAGGAGCACAGATCTTCATAAAGTCAATTTTTTTTTAAAAAGTTTTGATTTCTCTTAAAATTCTTTAATTTTTTTTCAATTTGCGCCTAAATAAGTACAAATTAGAGCATTTCATACCATTTCATACCATATTTTTTACCTTTTCTCTCTTCCTCGCCCCCCCCCCCCCCTAGACTCACATACCCCCTTCACCCTGGAAGGTCGGGAACAGCCGAGACCCCCTTCACCTGGGGAGAGCCCGGCTCCCCGTATCGCACCTATGCTTTCCACGTGATTCCCACATGTCCAAACTTTCCTGGATGCTGCCTTCAACAGCAATACGTTCCTGTCTTTCTTTGGAGTTCTATCCTGCTATGAAATTTTTCAAGCTGATTATAGCTGGCGTGCGCATTAGAGGCACTGTCCGGGCAAAAAAGTCTCGTGATTTTGTGCTTAGCCGGACCTATTTGCTATGTTGAATCCACAAATCCACACTGAAGAACGCGAAAAGGCGGAAAAAGGCTTTGAGCAGGAGGGAAGTCAGCAGGCGGGCGAAGTCTAACCCTCTGTAAATTCACGCTCTCACCTTCAGGAGCACCTTCTCGATTCCGCTAACTACCCTGACTCGCCAACGGCCAAATGCGAAAGCGTGATTTACAATCGTAACCGAGAAAATCGCTCCGGAAGCTGGGAGCGTGAATTCAAAGTGGGGAAGATCCCGCCCACTTGCTGATTTCCCTCCTGCGTAAGAGTCCCTTTTCACCTATTCGCGCTCTCTTCAATGTGGATTTTCAGATTCAGCGTAGCGAATAGGTCCGGCTAAGCACAAAATCACAAGACCTTTTACCCGAACACTGCCTCTAAGAAAACATCTTAGATCGATTTATTCTATTTCGCATCAATAATGAGCTTTTAATAAAGTATTCGCAAAATTTCTTGGAACAACCGAATATAAGTTGTATAATAAGAACTCACAACGTCGAATTCATTCTTAACCATAGCCTGATGAACTCTTAGTGAGTTGAAAAATGTATGCCCATTTTTGCAGTTATAGAAGGTGTCACTAAAGTTGCATATAGAGGCTCAAGGGATATGAAAATCTATAAAGCTAACGAAAGAGAGTGCCGCAAGTTTTGCGAGCCAATGCGAATGTCATAATCAGCATTTGAAAAAGCCTGAATAGGTAATATTCTATAATGAGTCTACCGGGGCCAGCGCCGCCTAGTGCAGTCATACACCTATGCGCGGGCGCTACCGTCGCTATAAAGTGCAGGGACCATGCTGCGCTAAACGGCGTAGTCCTTGCTTTAACCACTCTTCCTGCTTCTTTTTTACACTTATTCTCTCTCGTTTCAACTCTGACTTTTATGTATACTCTACTTCAGTACTTCCTGAAGACTCTCAAAGTATCGCCGCGCAAATGGAAGACAAAACGGATCTTGATGCCTTTTAAAAGAAGATGTAATTTAAATCATTTCATTTGAAAACTCTAAAAACGACTGGTGCTCTTCCAAACGACTGGTGCTCTTCCTCCTTACCAAAGCCGGAAAATGGTGGAATGGTAAGAACAAGCCCGCAATGTTGTACGCAGCATGGTCTTTGCACGCTACGCATTCGATAGTGCTCAGCTAGATGTGTGACTGCACTAAGCGGCGCTAACCCCGCTAAACGCATTGCACACTTACACTAAAAGTTTTCAACAAACCTTGAAGTGTATCATGTTCTCGTCCGAATATAATCCGATACACATGGACATAGAAACATAACCAATAAAAAGAAAAGCACTGCAAGTCTTTGTTTTCATGAGTTTCACTTTGATCATCTGTATCAAATTAAACTGAATTAAATCACGTATTCGTTTATTTTGGCAAAAATCACTACTGTCTATAAGCATTGCATCGCGCAAGTTGCACTCTTGGCAATCTTGCGACGGCTTGGCAAGGTGTGCAGAAATGTTTCGTAATGCTCTTTGGCACCGTGTCCTCCGTCTTTTCGGCTTCGCTCTTAAATCGGCTGATGACTACAGCTCGGTGAGCAATGGTCGCAAAAGAACGAATTTGATGGCAATTGGTGGAGAGTGATCTGAGCCACCCGCCTTATATAGCAGGCAGTGAAGATGTGCAGGTGCTCTGACGCATGGGCGCCACCAGGAATCAAGTACCATATTAAAGGCAGCGTCCAGGCAAGTCTGGACACATGGGGATCTCACGTGAATAGTAAATTTGGGACCCTGACTAAGCCACTGCCCAAGCGGCAGCTCAGGTAGTGCTCTAACGGCTGAGATATTCCCCTCGAACTAGACCCCGCGATCGTATTTCTCATGGATTCATGGCGCAAAGCCTGGATCCTGGCGCGAAACTGCCATGAATCAATGCGACTACGATCGCGGGGTCCAGTTTCTAGGAGGATATCTCAGCTACCTGCACTGCCGCTTTGGCAATGCCTTAGTTAGAGCCCCAAAAGTACTTTCCACGTAAAACCCCCATAGGTCCAGATCTGCCTGGATGCTGCCTTTAAGACTATCAAAACACTAGCTGGCTTACCCGGCTCCGCGTATCCGGACCAAACTTGGCACACATACACTTCGGGCCTCGGCGGGTGTCACAGTCCACTTTTCGTTATCGATCGATGTCGATTTTATCGATTTTTATCGATTTTTTTGCTGAGTTCACCTACGGGGCTGGGAGTTGGCACAGGGGGTAATCGAGCATGGGTTCCGAATACAATATTGGTTTTCAGGATTATCGATTAACAGGGGGGTAATCGAGCATGAGGACCGAATACAATATTAGTTTTCAGAATTATCGATTACTTTTATTGATTTTATCGATTTTTTGTAAATTTTGACATGCGAGGCTGGGATTTTGCACAGGGGGGTAATCGAGCATGCTGATTACGAACACAATATTAGTTTTCAGGATCGTCCATTACTTTTATTGATTTTATCGATTTTTTTGTAAAGTTTGACCTGCGGGGCTGGGAGTTTGCACAGGGGGTAATCGAGCATGCAGATTACGAATACAATATTAGTTTTCAAGATCGTCCATTACTTTTATCGATTTTATCGATTTTTTGAAAATTTGAGCTAGGGGGCTGGAATTTGGTTTAGGGGTGTAATCGAGCATGCTGATCACCCCCCTTGGGGATGATCAGCATGCTCGATTACCCCCCTGTGCCAACTCCCAGCCCCGTAGCTCAAACTTTGCAAAAAAATCGATAAAATCGATAAAAGTAATCGATAATCCCGAAAACCAATATTGTATTCGGAATCCCCATGCTCGATTACCCCCCTGTGCCAACTCCCAGCCCCGTAGGTGAACTCAGCAAAAAAATCGATAAAAATCGATAAAATCGATATCGATCGATGACGAAAAGTAGCCTATGACACCCGCCGGGGCCCGAAGTGTATGTGTGCCAAGTTTGGTCCGGATCGGTTCAGAAATGGAATTTTCTATTCGGAACATACGTACAGACATATAGGCGATTCGTTGCACGCAAAGACTGCGGACATATCTGCGTCTCCCTGATCAAGCGCTCTTTCTTTTCTCTTACCACCTGCTGCCTCTCCCAAGCACCAGCTATCTTGGTCGGACGCAACGGCGCCCAGTCTTTGCGTGTTTTGAATCGGCGATACATACATACAGACAGACATACATACATACATACATACATACAAACAGACATTCAGCTTTATATATAAGATTACGCAGCGAACACATCGGCTAATAGCACCAGATGACAAAAGTAGATCAAAGGCAGCGTCCGGGCGAAGTTTCAAACAGATATTCTCGCTTAATCAAGCTTATTTTTCCTGTGATTCCAAAAATGCACCTTGCAGAGTGCGAATCGAAAACGGGCTATCCCAGAAGCTCCTCATTGGATTTGGACGCTTTCCGCCGATGTTAAGACACGGAGTCGCATTGAGACTCTACGTATTTGTGCGATGAAAGCACTCCAGCTTATCGATTTATGCCTCGGTGGACGGGTCCTCGGTTGTGGCGTAACTCTCCCAACTTCCGGAGCACTTTTCTCTCCGGTTTCACGAAATGTGCCCACGATTGGGCTGGTGGGTAAGTCAGAGCGGCTACTTTTCGACAGCCAAATCCAAGACCCGCATCCTAATCCGGACACTGCCTTCGAAGGACTTTCTCAAAAACTTCGTACTCTGAAAGTTTTTGGAATCAGCGGGAAGGATAAGCCAAGTAAGCGAAGAAAATCTTGTTCGAAGTCCGAATTCCGCCTTCAACAACAAATGTTTTACAGAAGCATTACAGTTGACGTTCTTAGAACATTGGATTTGCTGATGCGCTTCACCCACGAGTTATAGGGCATCCCAACCACCATCGGTTGTGGGCACCCGCGGGATGAGGCTGCGTGCGCACGACGCAGGCAGCGAAATTAGCGCCCGAGCGCGAAAGCGCCTGTTTTTAGATCCGGCTGGTGCCCACGATTGGGCTGATACGTTTGACATATGTCTACTTTCTGCTCAAGCTCTCAATGGATCTCTACATCTCCATCGTAGCATTTTAAATCATAATGGAGAGGGAAACTTGGCAGCTCAAAACGAGCGGTTTTGATAGCAAAGGGTTTCAAAGGGTATTGAGATCGGGCTTTAACAAGTTTATCAAATGTCGTAATAATCCGTCTCTATTCAATTTGAGATTTAATGAAACTACAGATAAATTTTCCATCGAACCTAAATGTTGCTAGGTCTTCGACAGTGTATATTAATAGTAACTAAAGTTTTGAAATTATGGCTAGAATTTATATAGTTTTCCTTAATTTTTGTTTTTTAAAACATTTTTTGACTATTTATTGCTACATTAGGGTCCTATAGTCACTTCGCGTCCAAACTACAGAGTTGGTCGGTGGATGGCTTATAGCAAGAGATGCTGAAGAAACGGACACATACTGATTTGCTGTAAAAGCTAAACTTTACCTTAATTCTGTTTTTTAACAGGAGCAGTACGATTAAAGGTACAACCGTTACAGCAAAGCTCAAAGAGATCGAACATTGTTCGCATAGCTCATTCCATGTATAACGTAGATGTTTTCAACGCAAACGTTTTTATGCGCTGCACTTTTTTCTTAACCACAAGTCGAAACAAGTATGTCAGCAATGTGCCTCTAGATTTTCAAGGTCAAATCTGAATGTTAGAAAGCGTAAAGAAGGATAAAAATCAAGGGTTGCACTTACAAAGGTTGCAACTTAAAACTAAACATGCTAAGAAAGGCCAAAACCCTTCAAGGGAGCAAAAGGATTCACATTACATAAACTTTGATTTGCGCTTTCATTGTTTTCAAAATAAGTTTGCGAAAGCACAATCTTTCATCCATCCTTTTTGTTCCTGATGGTTACTTCTTCAATTCCTTTTTTTTCAAACTCACAAAATCAGTTGTAGTAACAAAAAGTTTTCTTTTAATAAGTTTTTTTTCGTAGGATAATTGCTGCCAATGTCAAAACCTTGAATGTAACTTAACAACTCTCTCATCTTGCTGCAAAAATGTATTTTTTGAACATTCTGTGACGTCTATAAGCGACTACTGTTAGCCATGTGTGATATATCACCTGCATATGCTAACGTTGATGGTTGACTGCAAAACTACAGCGTATTTTTAGCGTAATTCAAACTTCAAAATTTCGCTGCTATTGACAGGTTTACGATTGACCAGAGCGACAGGATGATTGCAAAATCGAAGTACCCTAAAATTTTACAGATATCCGCATTTTGACCCTTATAAAGCCCTTAAGATGATACTGACATATAGATAAGTTCTTTTTCTTTCCTTGTAACTATCTTGAAATCTTGTCAGATAAATCCGAAAACTGTTAGGAGGCCCTCTCTGTGAAATTGAGATTTTAGGGTAAGTAGAAATATATCAACAGCGTTTGAGCAATTTGACTTATATGGCAAAAGTGCAAGAATAAAAACGAAGGAAAAAACACGTTTTTGAACATCCACGGTTTCGAGCACCTGCGGTACTACACACCACAGTTTATCAAACTCTAGTTGAAGAGTATATTGAACGTTTGACATGTCTGCAAAACCATTGCTTCAAAATTCTCACGCGGTCCCCGCCCTAGATTTGCGTCATACGATTTGCTATTGTTGTGTCGAGACCTGTTGGTTCTCTCCTAATTTCCTTTGATCTCTTCGGAATATGCGCTTCATGCAACGCAAATCCCTAGCGTTGCAAGCGCGATTCAAACCGTTGTTTCGGCCTGATCGCGATTGATTTCAGCTTATTAAAGTACTCTATTCAATACGATTTTTGACACTCTTATGCATGGACCTAATCTCCAATTGGCTTCTTTTCTTCTCTCGGGAGCGCTAGTCTTATTCGAAGGACAACGACCTTTCTAGCTTCAGAATGCCCCATATTCACTACCATAAAAAATAGAACTTCTGCCCTTTCCGCCGTCGCATAAATATAGGGACATGGCGTAAAGTCAAGAGCATTTACTTAGAAAAAAATGCGAGTCTACTTAGGTGAATATTTTGAATCAGCCTAAGGTCTCTGGCAGAGTTTCATCGCCGCGATTCTCCCAACGAGACAACTGTTACAAGTCCATTGCATTCCGATCATCTTGCATTTCGGTTTTGATAGTTAGTCACGATTGGTCTTGTTGGAGAACTATCAAAACCGATATGCAGGACAATCGGCGTGCAATACACTCGTAACTGTTTGCTTTGTTGGAAGAAATGCGACGATGAAATTGCGTGAACTCTGCACGAGGCCTAACGATTCAGCTCAAAATGAAAAGTCAGAAAATAAGTTAGTTGACTGCACGGAATCGCCCGGAATGAGCACCCGCGCGCTTGACTCTCGCGGGCTAACATTGGCATTCGCGCGCATGAGTCATCATAGCGCCCGTACTCGGCAGCCGCGTTGCAGGCACGCTCGCGTGCGTTCAGCCTATAACAACCCGGGCGATTTGTGCAGGCGACTTTATCTTCCCAAGTACCGCCCTGCCCATATCAAATTATATGATTTGTTGATGAGGGATCAATAATTTACGAGGAAACTTACGCTGCAAGTGCGTAAATTGCAACTCCAATCATCATTGTGCAAGAGTCTGCAAAGCAAAGGCCTGCAGCGGCAACGATGGATACAGTGTTTCCTCTCCAATTTGGAACGTGATTGTAATGAGACAAATAGAATCTCCAGCTGTTGTGTTAGATATGTTAGATATCATAATCAGTTGTACTCTCATGGAACATTACCCTACGAATGCCATCGTAAGCCCAAAAAGAGAGAGACAAATTAGTAAAACAGGAAAAATCGATACATAAAACCAATACTCGATTTGTTGACGAATTTCCTGAAACAGACTGATTGTTCTCGTAAGCGTCAAAAAATTATCCTGTCTATCACCTTTTCCATAAATGCATTAGCAAGCTGGACGTGCAGCTTGCTGGTCCTATTAATCGTAAATTTAAGAGCCTGAAAAATTTAATTGTTTATTCATTTCCAAAAAAACTTCTACTGAACCTCTTCGAAGGCTTTTCCTGTTTCTTCTACGTCAACCTGTGTCCTTTCCAAAGTCTCAGAAAACTTTTTCGCTCGAGCATAAGCCTCAAAACATATAACAAGCTTACCGAGTTTTTCTCGTAAATAAAACTATAAAACTGCACCTCTTGCACACAAAATTTGGACATGTTAGAAAAGTTGTCGAGGTTTTGCTGAATAGTGCGTGCAGATGAAGATGCCAAAGACTAAAGAAGAAAGTTTCAACAGATGAGACTTTTTGGGATTAGCACAGGTACCAGATTATGCACTAGCTGTGGCGATCCCACTTTCCCGCTCAGGTTATCAAACTCATTCGTAAGTGCTACCGCGAGTTCGATTATCTGTGGGTGTAATGTACAAAACAGCATCTGTCAGCAACAAAAAACTAGAACAACCCATTTACCCTTTCCAAAGACTGAAAGTCAATCATGCCTTCCGTCTTATTGATCTGTGTTTTCAATAGCTCAAATTCGTGATGACATTTGCTTTTATATATTTGATCCTCCTTTTCACTGATGCAGTGTAAGTTAGTCGTCAAAAGGCTCGCAAGTCTGTTCAGATCTGAACTGCTATGAGTAAGCGACCACCTAAAAACTTGAAGAGACAAAAAAAGAAAAGACCGTGCAGTAAAGTCAAGGCTGCTCGGAAGGGTCAGGCATATGAGCAGATGGAAAACTAAAGAAACATTCTATCTTCATATTCTTATAGCAACCTCACTTGGAGACACTGGCGGTTGCAGGATTCCCGCTCGGGGAGGGGGGGAGGAATTTTTTTCCGATTTTTTCCGAATGTGCGTGGCGAGAGCCACGCTCCGAAAGTTTGATTGGGAGTTTCCCTAAAATTTTTGCGGGCCCATAACCAGGAACGAAGAAATTTCCCTATACTGAGTTTTTAAAAGATTTTGGGGAACTATTTTAATTATTTACATTACAAACAAGGTGCTTGCATGTTATCATAACTATAAGTAGCTTTCAAAAATCTCGCGACCCAAGCCAGAAACGCTTCGCGGAAATTACGCGCAGACTGTGAGCCCTAACCCGTTCTTTCGAAAGACGAGCTCTGTTGTATTGCTCGCATAAAGGTCCGGCACACATCACGCGATTTCATCGCCTTATCACCCCCACCAATATAACTTTTACGAGTTCATCGCATGTGGATGATCTTGCATTTAGTTGTTAGCTTTCCGGCACGGATGATCGCAAATAACTATAATTACCGTGGAAGAAGATCGACATGTGATGGACCAGTAACAGTTGTTTTGGCGGGAGACTCATATGAGATTGCGTGAAATATGTCTGGTGCTTAACTGTTGATGTAGTTTAGCAGCGGTTCACAGTAGCTCATTTTTGCAAGAAAAAAATCAGCAAATCAGTGGATGGTTCAGCGAATTGCTGAAGAAAAAGCCTAAGACATCTAAAGAGGTCGTATGTATACACTTTTTGATCGTTAATATCTCTTTTCTTGAAAAATCTTTTGCCCTTTGGTAAATTGTAGAGTTGGCTTCAAGTTAGATCTATAGTATGGAGCGAATCGCCGATCGCTCTTCACTAGTGTAAGATTACGGTAGGGACTTTCAGCTTACGGCGTTATTGCGGAATAACCGTGCTCCAAGAAAGTTTACAAAAATCTTAAAAGTGGTGTGATAGGGTTTTCACGCTTTCTGATTTTATTGTTCAAATTTTACGAGTTTGCAAAGCTTTTCAGATGGTGTAATCACGATTTCATGAAGTATGTAAAAGTTATTGCTATTTACCTGGTATAACTTATGAAGGAAGCACTGCGGTAAAGTGCAAACATCATGTTTGGTTTTAGCGGGTTGATTAGCCTAGTATAAATTCATTCTCTTTGTTTAGTTTGCTTTCTGAGGCGTAATAGGGCCCCTTAATGGTCACAAGCCTTCTTGAAGTTTCTAACGTAACCCTATAGCAATGAAGAGGGATCGGTGATTCGTTCCATACTGTAAGTCTAAGCTGAAGACAGCTTTACAAAATGGTGCCTGGTAATAAGCAAAAGACTTCCTGAGAAAGATATCAACGATCAAACAGTATATACATCCTTTTGCGACACTTTGTATATGCAAAGAAGTGGCACAAATAGGGAGTGGCGCCTCTACAATGAACAAACATGTACTAGAACTAAACCCTTAAAGGCACCCCACCCTAAGTGGAGGGTGTTGAGCTTTTGGTAGCATATAATAGTAGGGCCCCATATCAATCCAATGCCCAAGTCACGGCGCAAAAGTTGCTTCGGAAGCGAGAAAATCGCTTCGGAATAGCGAAGTCGCACGAGAACCCCCATCCATGTCCGCCCTCTCCCATCCAGGCCCGCCCATTTGTGCCGCGCATCCAATCACCGCTCTAGAAAGCCGGCCTGTGAGTTCTCCGGAACGGAAATTGTCGGGTTTCCGCGCATTCTCGACTTCATATTCGGGACATGAGAAAGCCCTGAAACGACAAAAACGTGGAAGTTGAAAATGGTAGACGGTGCCTTTAAATGCGTATACTAGAGCAAAAGATATTATAAGCTAGTATACTTTGTTGCAATGTTTTCAGATCTATAGTTACTCTGTCAAAACCAGTCTTGCACAATTCCTGATAAGAAGCAAACAAAATCGCCTTGGACTCTAATCCATGGCGAAGGTATCTTAAGTTCCAATGCAATTTTCCAAGAGTCTTAAATACATGAGAAAACAAATCCTTGACCTACCATCATCCACAGTTTTCAAATGTTTTGGCAACATTTTGAGTCCACTGTGAACTTGCTTGAGACTGTTGTGATATATGATTATGGCGATAAATGATGTGAAGATACATATGAAAAATGCTGTGCTTATAGACAGCACTTTTGAGCCAGCAATTACTCTTTTAGTCTATGAAAAACGATAAATGCTATTACTTAAGCAACAATAAAATCACCTCAATGCCAAATATGCAACATGCGCAGCATAAACATGTCGCTACTGATACGAGAGAAAAAATACCGCATAGTGCTGCCCAGAACGAAAGCAAAACGCGCATAACGTACTGAACATGTTAGTATCATAGACAGTTATCAATAATGGTGTTGATTATTCGAAAACTCACGTTTTCCTCCACACTTTTCGATAGCCAAAATAATAGTTCATGTGGATTGTCAACTTGGCCAGCTGCTTTCTGTAAGCGCAATTCTAGAGCATTTTAAACGTAAAGTTTGAAAGTAACAATGCAAAGATATTTTCCACGTACTCTCTTCTTTGAACCTGGGCATGTTGTATCGGATATTGACAGAAGAACAATACACAAGGCAAAGATATTTATCTCTTTATAAGTTTCGCAAAATAAATTGCTGGGTATCACCCTCGTATATACATTCATGTAAAATCAGGTAGCAAAAGGTTTTCTTGTAGATTAAGTCAGCTCACATAGAATGACGTAGGAAATCTTTTTATGTAAGCTGACCACACAGCTTCTGATATGGGGGTATCTACAGACATGTGCCCTCTATGCGTTTTGGATTCATAGTAGCCCCGCAGTTAACGCAAAAAAGCTGATTTGGCAAAGTTCATGCGAGGCACAATTACCGTTGCTAGCCGTGTAAAGGTTGCTGCATGACGAAAGCGCAGAAGTAGTATTAGTTGAGCGGGCGCGAACGCGGCGCGCACGTATCCTCACTGTTCAAATCTTGCACTCATGCCCTCATGCGCTCTGCCGTTAATAAAGCCGCGATCGCGCCTAAAGGTATTGCGCCTTCGTCATGCAGCAGCCTTTATGTCTTATTGTCGCACCTACATGCCCTCTATGCAAGTTTCTGGCTCGAGACATTGGCTGCTATTCACTCTATGAAATTTGTGACAGGCTTATACACACAGGCAAAAACAATGGCCTCAACAATTATCAAGTAACTAGCCGGCATCCTAGCGGTCACGCCCGAGCCATGGTTACAAAATGATTCAGCGCGGATCTTGTGTGGATCCTGGAGCATGACAAGTTTATGTCCCCCTTTCTCATCCACGCCAGCCGCCTGCTCTCCACAATCTTCCTACAACATGCTCGAATATAACCACTTAGGGCTCCTGTACCACCATTTCCGTAACTGCCACAAGGTGCGGGTCGAATCACCACATTTCAATCGCAAAATGCTAAATATGAATGAATCAGAAGATGGGTACAGCAGGTTGCCACAGTAGTTTACACTTTCCGCCGTTGTGTTTTGTGCTAGGAAAAGCACATGTTGAGGCATGCCAGCAATGTATCAAATCAATGGTGAAGTGGGCGAGCATGCCTGCGACGTTATTTTATACCAGTGCGTCACCTCTGCTCCGCAGAGGCTCGCAATTGCTCTACTATCTATGTGCCTTACTCATTCTCGTAAAATCGTGACACTGGAACTCACCGTGCTATGCCGACTACCACGAATGAAATGTAAACAAACTACTCATTTAGAGAGCTTTTTCACGTGAGATCGGTGATTTCGCATGGAAAAAACTTTTCGCAGGAAGACAAAGGCAAATTTGAATAGGTTTTTGAATTTGTCATGGTTTGATAGTCGCCATAAAGACAACAGTCACCGTGAGCTACATCTCTGTGCGAAAATCTTCTCAAATGCTTTTTTAGAACCTTGGCAAATTGACCATTTACGCAAGCAATACTTTTTGGCGCCGTTTTTGTAAAGTAATGGACTTTTGGTCACTTATTTGGGCCTAAGTTCATGGCTTGCACATTTACTTGCCATAAACCCCCACCACTGCAAAAAAGTGGAATTACGGACCCAATTTTGTGGGCCAAATGCAAAGCGGATCCGTTTGACGCGCAATTTTCAAGAGAACCACCCAACGAATCTGCTTGTTCTTTTGCATGTTGGACTTTCATGCCAGTAGCAAGTGCTATGCAAAATTTGAGCCCAGGATGTTGGCTGGAACACGCTCTACGAATTTCGTGACAGACAGACATTCAGACACACACACACACACACAAAAACACGTAAACACTCTTAGCGCGTTATTATAGTAGGATGAATGTTCAAAATAATTTACAAGATGTTTTGTGGCCTAAACGAAATCCAGTTTGACTAACAAGGAAAGCTTCTTCATTCGAAGGTCTTTTCGAATGAGATATATACCATGATGAAGAGCATAAACTGGTTGCAAACCTGCCTTCTTTATCTGCAAAACATTCATGGACGAGGAATTATCAGCGCTCATTGAAGAGGGAAATTGAATGTGCATTTGGATGAAATGAGTTGCTAAAATCTCACCACCCTTAAATAATGCAGCGATGTGATAATTTTTTTCTTAACGTAGTCATTGAATGAAGTGCTTTGATGATTATCACTGCCTTATTGAAGAGCTACAAAGTATTTGAGTCACTTTTGTCTTACTTGCACATTTAAAGGCAATGTCCGGGCAAAAAGTCGACCTTGAGTTTTTTTGCTTACCCAAGCCTATTCGCTACGCTGAATCCGAAAATGCACATTGGAGAGCGCGAAAACGGCGAAAAACGGCTCTAACACGGGAGGGAATCAGCAGGTGGGCGGGGTCCTCCCCACTGTGAATTTACGCTCCCAGCTTCCAGAACGATCTTCTCGGTTCCGATTCCAAGTCATGCATTCGCACCCGGCCGGTGGAGATCTCAGAGCGCTAGAGGAATTGGGAAGATCGCTCCAGAAGCTGGGACTGCGAAATTCACAGTGGGGAGGACCCCGCCCACTTCCGATTTCCCTCCTGCGTTAGAGTCCTTTTTTGCCGTTTTTGCGCTTTCCAATGTGGATTTTCGGATTCAGCGTAGTGGATAGACCCAGGTAAGCACAAAATCTCAAAATCGACTTTTTGCCCGGACACTGCCTTTAATGTTTTGTCCCCCTAAACGCTCATAACTCCTTGTCCATAATTCTGCAGATAAGGAAGGCAGATTTTGAATTAGCGGATTTATGCCCTTCAATAAAGTATACATCTCATTTGAAAAGGCCACTTTGACTAAACATGCTTCCCTTGTAAGGTATTTCCGTTCTGGACCTCGGTATAACCTTGATAGCGACCATCCAAGATGGCTTGTTCATTCGCTTCAAGTGCGTCAAGTGCACTCCTCAGTTCCGACTCTACTTCAATAGGCTTCGCTTCCACACGTTAACATAGGCAAAGAACTTTCTCTTTTGATTTGTTTTTAATCAGCGTCTCACTGTAAGCAATCTGTGAATACTTTCATTACTCCAGATTGCTTGACACAGACGATCGAGCAGAGTTGTCTTCCTGCATCCCGACCTGGCCCTTTGGGATCACTTGAGTATTCCCTACTATAACTACTCAGCTTGTCAACTATGGTAGTAATATTGCTCCAAAGCCCTTATGCACTAACATTTCTGCGGCCGGGAGAGCGGCGTCCTCCGTCATGAAGGGGTCCGTGCGCGAATGCCGCTGCGACTTTTTCTACATTGAGGACTTGAGCATCTTTGTAAACCGAGCACTCAACAACTCTTAAGAAGCATTTCAAAGTAGTCGTTTTATCAAGCTAAGTTCCATCATGTAGGTCACGTCTTTCATCGTTTTCATCAACGGTTACCATGCAAAGAACATACGATATTTTTTTTACATATTTTCACATGGTATTCACTAAGTTCATTGCCGTTTATTTGATGATCTTACCTCTATGGTATGAAAAGGTAATGGGTCGACAACTGCTTCCATCAAATAGGCGCTAACATCATACAGACTTCCCATTACCGCTCCTATTTCTGGAGATTTTAGCTCAGTGGTCTTTATATCTGGCGCATAGCAATCTGAATACACCTAATGTAGCTGGTATTGAGATAAAACTAGTGTCTAAACCTTTTGGCATTATGACTGATTTTGTTTGCACCGCTTGCGATGTAAATAATGAGTTAATTAAACCATTCTCGCTTTGAAGGCAGAGGGTGCAACTTCAATGTTCATCTCTTAGGCCTAACGGGTCGAAACAGGCTGTAAAATGTAAAGCTGCGAGTTTGTAGTTTGCAACGGGACTTTCGGCGAAGAGTGGCAAACGTCCTATGCTTACAAAAAAAATCTGAAGTTAAAGGATTGTAAGGATCGCATGCATTATCTCACCTGTAAGTATTCCTACCATCCTTCACTATTAACATACTGAACAGGAGCGAGAAGCTGAACGAGCGGATTTTTCAGCTTCTTGTATGATCTCCTGGTGATCCTCGACGGCCGACCGTCTCTTCATCAAAGTCATTTTTCTTTCTTCGAAGTCAACGAAAAGCTTCCAAAGTTGTGTAGTTTATCTAACCCAACAGTGGTATTCATGTTTCTGGTAAGAAGAACTGGGCCGATAGTAGTTCCCCCGACCTGGCGGCAAGTCTCATCGGCAGGTCGCTGGTACCTTTTCTGGAGGTGGCCAGAAACTAAAACCCCGAATTTAGGCCGCCCCAGGCCTTTTTTCAAAAAATTTTCTCGATGATGCCACCTCGTTCTATAAAAACCTCCATCGAAATTTGCGATTCCGGAAATTCTCATGTAGGAAAATATCTGGAAGCGCAGGAGAAGCTGCCGGCAACTTTGCGAGGTCACTTGCCAGCAATCTGCCGGCAGCTCGTCGATCCGCGAGGTGGCAGCTGCCGGCAGGTCAGAGAGTATGAGAAATAGCGTGTTCTTTTGAGAGAGGAAGCTGCCGGCATCTCGACACCGAATGGTTGAATGGTTAGCGTGGTGGCACTTGAAGTTGACGCTCTTAGGTTTCGAACGCGTGCGATGTAGCAGTTTTGCGGCTGTCTGCGTCATCAAAATTCAATGTGCGAAATGATTGCGTACTAAGGTTATATAAGATTACTAAAACCTAAAATCACTCCGCGAGCTGCCGCCGGAGATGGCAACTTCCCGCGATGTGCGCTTACTTACCGGCATCTATGATGCCATCAGGTAGGGTAGATTACTACCGGCCCTGATGTTTCGAAGTCATGAAATTTGCAATGAACCACACGTCGGAAGTTGAGGTTCATCTGAAAACTTGATTTTGCGAAACTCATTTGTTTTCATCAGCAACATCAGCTTAGCTCAGTACAACTCTGGAGTGTTTTCGTTAACTTCGAGGATAGAAAAATGACTTTTGAGAGAAGACGGTCGGCCGCCAGGATCATCAGGGATCAAACAAAAGGCTAGAAAATGCGGCTTGGACAGCTTCTCGCTCCAGTTTTATATGTTCATAGTGAACGATGGTAGGAATACTTACGGGTAGGAAGACAGCGTAAAATCCAGAAGTTCGGAGCTACAGGATATGAAGCTTTCTTTGCTGCGATCCCCTCCCCGGCTGGGATGATAATGCATGCGGCCTTAAGTAATGCTTGCTCGTTGAATGATGTAATAAAAAGATTTATTGCTAGCCTCTCTTTCGGACCCTACTTTGCGATCAGAGCAGGGTTGCGCCACCCTTAGAACTTTCAAAAAGCCATTAGAAGCAGAGGCTATAGATTTGAAGGATTTCGCATTGTTTCGTACCTCTCAACTTGCAAACACGACTATGAACATAATTACGAATTTATGTAGGCAAACCGTTGGGCCTAGTTCAGCTGGCACCCGGCCGAAATGGAGCTAGAAAACACGCTTAAAGCTATATTCACACTAACTGGCATACCCGGCTTCGCCCGGCTCTGTCATAGCACTATAATAAAGCTCACTATCCCTATTCCAGTACAGCCTTATCCTGTTCCCACTTTTACATGGCAGTTCCCTATCCCCGTTTTTTGTAATCAGCAAGCCCACCTAACCCCTGTACCATTTCCTAGCCGCGTAACCTAAACTTCGCAAAAAATCGATCGCAGAGTCAACGTGGGGCGCACGCACGGTTAGTATAGTAGACGTCATCCGTCTAGTCACCTCGGTGTCGTGTGTGCTATTGCACACAATTTTGAAATCCCGGATGAGGTGCGAGGTTCGCGCCATGCCGTACTTGCACCAAGTGCGCATACGGCTGAAATTCGACGCCAAACTGTCCGATTTTCTTATTTTGATGTTTTTCTTTCGTTTTAAGCACTTTTTCTGCACGCATGGTCTCGTTCTCAATGATTTGCTACCTTTATACTCGTGCATTGCCGTTTTAGATAGGATATCCTGAGATTTATCACTTCTGCTTCCAGGCAAGGAAGGCGCGTGGGCAATCTTGCAGGATTGTAAAGTAAGTGTGTTTTTCGGTGTAGTCGTATGTAGAAAGAATAGAGTATCTCGTAGACAATACGAGTTTCAACTTCCTCCTCACTGAAATCGTCTTGTACCGAGTTCCTCTTGGAAAGCTTCTTACAAGTCTATAGTGGGATTGCTTCAAACAAAAACTCGTACTTCCCAAGAGACACTCTACTCTTTCTACATCCGACAATATTGAAGAAAGCACACTTACCTTGAAATCCTGCAGGATTGCCCATTTGCCGCTCTCACCTGGAATCAAAAGTGAAAAATTTTGAAATTTGCGATCTAAAACGGCAACGCAGGTATAAAGATAACAAATTATCAAAAACCAGACGTGCGCGGAGCCAAAAACAAAAAAAAGCACCGGAATAAGAAAAATCGGCAAAATTTGGCGTCGAATTTTAGCCGTACGCGTACTTGGTGCAAGTACGGCACGGCGCGAACCCCGCACCTCATCCGGAATTTCAAAATTGTGTGCAAGAGCACACACGGCACCGAGGTGACTAGAGGATGACGTCTACTATACTACTTCCCGCTTGCGCGGCTAAAATCACCCGCTTGCTTGCTGTTGGAGTGATTTAGCATGAAGTGCCTCAACCAATTCTCTTCGAATTATCTTAGACCTGTTCACATTCTGCGGACAATTTCTGCAGAGTGCCCGAACCCTTTACGAGAAAGCCAGCTTCATATGATAATTAAAGCATTTCTCCCACACGCTCATTTGATGGTCAAGAAAAATTGTTGATAATACGACATATCAAGACCTTATAATAACGGGCTAAGGGTTGTTTACTTGTTTTTGTGTGTCTGTGTGTCCGTCTGTTACGAAATTCGTAGAGCGTGTTCCAGCCAGCGTTCTAAGCCCAAATTTCGCATAGCGCATGCTGCCTTCATGAAAGTCCAACATGCAAAAGCACGAGTAGATTCGTAGTGGATCCCTCAGAAATTGCGCGTCAAACGGGTCCACCTGGCTTCTGTCCAGCAAAACTGGGTCCGTATCACCACTTTTTGCAAATTCGTAGATGTGTTTGGTAAGCAAATACGCAAACGATGGACTTTAGCCCGAAAAATGGCCAAAAGTTTACTATATAACGAAAACGGCGCCAAAAAGAATTGGTTGCGTAAACGCTCAATTTGCCAAGGTTCTAGACAAGCATTTGAGAAAATTTTCGCACAGAGATGTAGTCCATGGTTACTACTGCCTTTATGACTACCAAGCCATAACAAATTCAAAAAACTTTCCAAATTTGCGTTTGTCTTCCTGCGAAAAGTTTCATTTACGCGAAATCACCGATCTCACATGAATAAACTTTCTAAATGAGTAGTTGTTTACATCTTATTGTGGTAGTCGGCATAGCGCAGTGAGTTCCAGTGAGAAAATTCTACGAACATGAGTAAAGCACATAGATATAGCCAGTGCGAGCCTCTGCAAAGCAGAAGTGACGCACTGGTACGACATAACAACGCTAAGGGCAGCCAAAACTGCATCGTAATCTCATGTACCGCTTACGCTCACAACTTGTGAGGATTATGAGGAGAAGACGAAGGCCATTGTTGGCTGCTTGCAAGATGAAGGGTGTTGCCGACCGATCAGGCTAACACACTGCTCGCCACTTTTTGAGCAAATGTAATGCCGGGCGATCGCACGGTAAATTGTCTGCCGCTTGAACGTCACTTTGACTGTTTACCGCATGCACGGAAGCTCAAAGGCAGCGTCCAAGCAGAATCTCGACTTCTATTTTTTTGCCTTAACCAGGCCTTTTCATGGCGCTGATTCCAAATATGGCACTCAACGTGAATATTTGATAAAACTCCATTTTGAGACAATTTCTTGAGAACCGTGGACGAATGCTCTTAATGCCATTCTTGTCGAAAGCAATCATCAACAGGTAGACATGTTTCAGTTGTGTTTGCCACGAGAAAACACGTCAAAAGCTGGCGAAAGTTCGTTGAAGGGGGTGGGCCGTGCGAGCAAGTGGACATGTCCTTGAATTTCGGCGTTTTCTGCGCCGATTTTCTTCCTTTACACGGGGTGTTTGTGAGTCGGATTTGCGCGGCAGTTCTAGATCACTGTCATAGTACTCGGTTTTGATAATAACCGATGATGTCTAGATCTGCCTAAACGCTGCCTTAAGGTTTGTGTTGATCGCTTGCACGCTAGTGCTTATAGGAGTATCGCTCGCACGGCGCGAATTCCTGAGCAGCCCCGCAGCTACTTTTGCAAAAAAAACCCGACAAACCTCGATGAAAGTAATCGAGAGTTCTGAGCACCATTGTATTCGCAGTCAGCATGCTCACTTACCCCCTTTGCTAACTCCCATCCCGGTAGCCCAAATTTTGCAGAGAAACAAATGAAATCGACATAGATCGATAATGAAAAGTAGCCTACGACCCTCGCCCCGCTCCCAAGTGTATTTGTGCAAAGTTTGGTTCGTATCGGTCCAAAAATGAAAATTTGTATTCTATATACGAGCATGCATACAGACCGACAAAAGAACGTTCAATTTCGTATATAGTAGTTTTCATAGCTTTCTCAAATTTGACTTCGATCATGCTCATATGCACACCAAATTCATTGTATTCCGAATCAGTCAGGCTGAAGGTAAATCTAAGCGCTCGCAGCCATAGGGTCTGCGATGCATATGCACAGTATTGTAGAGAGCGAAGGGATAGAGA